AAGAGAAGAAAGGAATGAGAGATCAGTACAATTGAAGTAAAACAAGAAAAATTATGGAGATTTAAAACTAGATTTTTTAGCTAATAGTTGATAGACAGACACCACAATAGACTAGACTCCCGGCAGACCGAAGTGCTCTAATGCAAGGGTATTCTTGACCGAAGTGCTCTATTGTAAGTTAATATAGTGTTAGGATTTGGATTTTTAGTCATTATTATGTATTTTTTTTCTACCTGATGTTTTTACCGTGTATAAATAATGATTAAAGATTAAAGATTAAAGATTCTATTTGTTGCTTTTCTTTTCTTTTCGAGTAGTCCCATATGGTCTAGCGGTTAGGATTCCTGGTTTTCACCCAGGCGGCCCCATTTTATTTCTCAGCTGATACATTAAACCGACAAAAATAAAAGAATCAAATTGAAAAAAGTTAGCAGTGGTACAGACAAGGAACCCAAAATGGTTCGATACTTTTAGTTGAATGCTGAGTAAAGATTCATTGAAAACTCTAATGTCAATGAGATAGAAATGTCAAGTTATTTCGATATCATTACCATATAAATGGTTGAGACAAAATTCCGTTATTGTTTATGAAGTGGTGGAAAGAAATAAAAGACAGAAGTCTTCCAGTAAAAGTTCTGAGATCAAAAGCAAGAGAGGGTCATTTTTGCTGCTGTGGCGGGAAAAGGCATGTGATTTGTGTCCATGCCTAATCGTTTTAAATTAACCGAGCCGGAGGGACTGAAGCACTGGAACCGAAGTCATGCCTGGTGGATAATCACGTGTTAGTCCTTGAACTTAACACTCAATTTTCATTTCGACAAGCATGCTGCATGCCACTAATCACACAGCTTGACAGAACGAATATTTGTGGTATTGACAATGATCAGGAAATACGGTTCCATGTTTCATGGGAAGTCTTGAGTGGATAGAGGTGACAATCCCTGCTTTTCACGCCTTGTTTGCGTCGACTGTCGGACGCCAAAAGCGGATTATGTGCCAACATTCCGTTTCTCTTACGTGTCCTGGCGTGAAATGACGCCCCGGGACACCATTTGAAGAAACGCCCCTCCATTTTACTTAGAATTTGTCATTTGTAAAGTTTTCGTTGACTTTCAACCTTGAAAATGTTTCTAAAAGCAAAAAACTTTGGATAATCTCTTTACGTTCATTGAAAGGTTGATCACTGTTATAACAATGTTAGGAGCGTCTCCCGGTGAATGAAACAAACTAGAGGCAGCCAAATCACCTCGAACATCACGAAGGTATTTGTAACCAGTTTTCTAATCGTTTCAGTTTTTTATCGTTTAAGAGCCTTGCTCTTCGAAGATTCCTTACTATCATTTCTCAGACTTGCCAATCGAACTAAGTTGCATTTGTGTCGAAAAAGCCCCTTTACCGCTCGATGTCTGTAGGTGCTCTACTGTTAAATGTTTCTATCTGTAAACTTAGCAGTGTGAATTAAACTACGAGAAACAAAAATCCAAAGGAATACAAAGTGGACACGGATCAGCGGAACATTCTGTCGAAACACCCAAGCATTCAGTCAGTCGCCACCAACGACATGGTGGACATTGCAAAGTGAGAAATGAAAACGTTTTTTTCAAATCATATCTCGATTGAAGCATCTTGAAAAGCAGCTTGATATCTTTCTAGTTTTACTGAGACTGTTGCAAGTCTGGATTTCTGTTTTGCCCTCGTTTAAATCTGGCCTTTCTTATCTGGCAACTTTGCTGTTTGTTAAATGCAGAAGATAACAAAGAAGTATAGATAACTGATGTACCTACGCTCATAAGTAGGTCTTGTAAGCAGTAAAAATTATGATTAGCACATTTTAACAGGTCTAGTGGGGATCTGACTAAAACTTACGAATCACCATTAACCATACCTTTTGCGAATATGAAGACATTCGAAAATTTTAACTTTCATCTTGCCGAATCGTCCGTTGTGCACGTCGGTCATCCAAGGTCCAGCACATTGCAACTCTGAAATATCAAAAGAGTTTGTCAAAGGTGTTTTAAAGTGTTAGCCATTTTGGATAGCGAATATAGGGATCGGGATGGAGATATTAGTTTTAGCTGACAATTATAACACTCGGTTTGATGTACAGTTTGGGAGGCACATTAGACTAAAATGAGATTTTCCAAGAAACTTGTGATGTACGGGTGTTCAAAGGAGGAAGTTTCACTGTTTGAAACAGTTATGTGATATTTTTAGAACCGAACTTTGAACAGAGACTTAAACAAAACCATTGAATGTGCTTCTCTCGATCTGTGCGCTGAGTTTTTAAGGGCTGCAAGTCCATGAATTTTCTTCGGTGTTTTCGCACGAAGTTACTCGGCACCTTTATACGAGACACAAGCAATATTGGTTCGTTTATAGGAAGGAGTTACCAACTTTTTCTAAAATGACGAAAAGCGAATTGAAGAAGTAGCTTATACCTCCTTGACTTCCAAGTTATGACTGAAGAGCGTGCGCTAAACTTTTCCAATTTTAATCTACGGATTTGTCGTTTCAAGTTTCCATTGTATTCGGTTTTACAAGGTCAATTCTGTTCGACTCAGGAATTGAAACTGCACGATCGTACGTACTTTGGTAGCCTCAGGGGAGAGTGCAACTTAATCTGGATTTGATCATTCTTTCACATTCATGGCTTGCTGTTGCCAATAAAAAAGATTTTAAAACTGACTCTTTTCGCCCTGATGTGCTTAAGCTGAAGTAGAATAAACCGAGTTTATTTTGATACAGATATTTAACTTTCATAACTTTCCTTTCTGTGCGGTTGTGTTCTTTAATTTTCTAACACTCCGCGATGGCTGGCTTAAAGCAAGTGTGAGATACAATGCACATCATGGAGAGTTTGAGCGTCTCCGTGAGAAGGAGTCTTTCTTTTTAAACTAAAGTTAACTTTACTTTTCGTATTTCCTATACTCAAAGCATTACATGATGCATGAGGCAAGTCGAACTGAAGCCTAACGAAGGAAAGTTCCAGTATTTAGAAACCGTGCTGATTCAACACGACAGACTGAAGAAACGTTTGGCAGGAGACGCTTTATTGAGGATACACACTGAATTCCTGATATCACAAACTCGGTATATCGTCGATGTCGTGAACAGAGCTGAATTTTTAAAGTGTAGTTATTTTCTTTACGTGTTTCTTACACTATCAAGGAAAATTCATGGCTTTACGCTGTCAAATAATGTTGCTTCTGATGTAGTAAAAGTGCAGCGGTTTAAACACAGACTGAATGATGTCTAGAGTAAAAACATAAAACAAGGTTGAATAGGCACAGCACGGAGGGCCTGTCTTCCGAGTGCCTTTCAAAGCTACACTGAGATATCAACTCTATACATGATGTTCTCCAGTTTGCTAAATAGCATGTCGCAACGGTAAAAGGTACAAAATTAGTTTTTAAACATACGGAAATCAAGTCCAATAAAATCTGAAGGGAACATCACATAATTAACGTTCTAATTAAATCACAAGGTTTCGCCGACAGACCATTGTGCTAAAAGAGCGGAAAACCACAGTGTACAGTAAAAGATAATTGTCAAGACAACTGTATAATTGAACCAAAGAAAATGCGTGAGAAAAGACAAGGAGATTTACCTGTTCAGAGGAAAATTTGCGTGTCTTCGCACCTTCTTGAGTACTTTACCCGCTTGAAATCGTTGTTTAATTGTTACGGTATCCACGCGAAGTTTATACTCGTTAGAAAACTGTCTTGTTGAACACAGTAGTGAACTGCACGAGATTGATTTATCTTACTTCACAGGTATTTACACCATGAGTTATACGAGATCATGTGAAAAGCATACGTTGAATTGTAGGAGACGTTCAGTCTGCTGCCAGCTAGCGTTGCGGCTGCCGTCCAACTGAAATCATAAATCAATCGCTTTAACTTTCGGTTGGCATGCGCGAAACACGAAACGACGTATTTTTCTAGATAGCAATAGGAAAGTAAATAAATAGATAAAGCTCACTTTGCGGTAGGCGATTAAAAACTTCAAAGCTTCCTAAAGAGTTTTTAGACTCAAGGAATATTCAAAGCAAAAAGACAAAAAAAGAGAACTTAACACAAATCACTGTTTCCAAAGGCGAGAAAATTAATTACTGATAAAAAGTTAGTTTTTCACTGAACTGCGCACGCAATGTTATTAATTGATATAGAATTACGAGACCGCACAACTGTCCGGCAAATGATTTATCATTTCATTGCTATCTTTAACCTTCAATATCCATATTGACTGTCTTTGTTTTAATTTCTCCACTAAAAGGATCTTGGCTTTTATCGGCTCCATATCTGCTAAACAAACTTGCACTCGAGCGGTGTTTATTCACGGAAGGTGGAGCAGAAAGAAAAAAACAAAACATTTTTCAAAAAAAAAAACAAAAACATTTTAAACAGAATTTTAAGAGACCAAAAGCCCACAACTTCGATTATTTTAAGATACTCTTTAGTGATTAACAGCACAATTATTTTAGTGTGCAGTTAGGGAAGAAAATTAACGTTATGATTGAAGAACAAGCAATCCCATATCGTTAACGAAAAACGTTCGGCACTACACTTCCTAAATGAAAAGAAATTTAAACACAAGAAATCCTTCCGCTTGGAGGTAAATCCTCAACAAGATTTAGACACGCTATTTGTGAAATTCAATAATGGCTTGACAGCCTGACACTTTCAGCTCTTCCTATGAATATAAAATATTTGTCTTCTAGGTCAAGAAATGTGACGTGCAGCCGACGTAAAATATGGTTTTGACTTCAAGGTACTTTAGATCGCCCTTCCAAGGTTAAATCCCTGAATAAAAGACACGCCAGGACGCGTCAACTGTTTGAGTATTTCTTGTGCCTCTTGGTTCGTGATCAGCACGGTAAAGCTGTTCAGTTCACAATTTTTCTGCGCGGTCTACGACTAAAAGAAAAAGGGTTTAGCTCGCCATGGGAAAAGATAACTGAATTGCAAAGGCGGAACTTTAAAAGCTCTGAAGAAGCTGGTTGAAGGTATTATTTTATCATATTTACGAACAATGGGAAGAATGATTTCCCTTGTACTGGCTGTGCTATAGTTCACGTTGTATGGCTGGGTAACTATAATTTCCTCGCTTTTTCGTTATGAATCACGACCCTTACTTCAGACGACACCTTGTAATTCCATCTAACCAAGGTCTGGGCGTGGCGTTTATCAGATTTCCTTAACCACTGGAAAAAATTCTTCTTCAATGTATATACTGTTTATCGTTCATGCACGTTCATGCTATTAAATTAAACTAATTATTTTCCTCTTGAGGTTTAGCTGTTTCAATTTTGCTGAAAGAAGTTTTGTGAAATGTGGTTCGAAAAAATGTTTATTGTGAATGCACACGAAGAACGGTTGAGAAGATTGAGGAAGAACTAGCGGCCATTTTGTCTGCCAGTACTAAGAGAAGAGAAATCACGGAATCCCGTTAGAAAACGTTTCATAACTTCAGCGCTTTTGAATGATGCAATAGAACTATGTCATAAATTAAAATTCCTGCAGCATAACGAATATCTCGAGAGAAACACTTTGTACAATGAAATCATTCAGTTCACAGGCAAATGTGAGGCTTGTAAACTAACTACTTGTAAAAATGTGCTCTAGTCCTCGTTCATTTTTGCCGTCCGTAAAGTTGTCAATATTTTCCGTACATTACGATAGCTTTTTCTTCCTTTTGTGTTGTTATAGTATCTTCCACGTCTGTTTAAATCTAGAGCAGAAAGGCTTTTGAACTTGTACACTGTGGTTTGACAAAGGAAATCGACAACATGGCTAATAGGTTGAAACCCCAGGAAGCCTCTTGACTGCATCAAACGAAATTCTATTCGTATTTCAATAATTCGTTGTCTGGAGTTCGGTTAAACTCTTTGAGGGTATCTTAGATCTTACCTTTGCTATCGTGGTGATCATACGGACATTTTGTGCGAGAAAATCGGGAGATTGAACTCGAAGTAATATCGACTGCTGGAGACCAAGCTCTTTAGCAAAGTTGACATTTTTCACACCTAGCAAGAGATTCTGTTTATACGCACAATTAACTTTGGTGAAAAAGCTGTTAATCGTTTAAGAGTGGCAAAGAAAAAACAACTTTTCCCTTCTCTGCTGCTGGTTACAACTGCAGCAACGAAATGTTGCGACATTTCGAAACACAAAACCTGTCATATGAAGCGACCCTCGAAAATTGCACCAAAATAGTCTCAAGTTATCTTTATGGCCATTTGAATTGCATATTTCATGCTAGAGTTGTAGTTTGGGTTATTACACACAGAGTATCGAGAAGAAGTGGGCTTTTTTAAACTAGAATTCTTTGCCGTTCAATCTGTGAAAAACAGAAAAGATTGGAAACATTTAATGAGCGAAGGGCAAAGCCTCCGCAACAGCCGAGCCACTAGAACACGAATGTCGCAGAAGGCTAATGGCGTAATTAAAAATTTGTTCTCTCTACTTGTCAGCAGCATTCAGTATCTTAAAAATCGAATTGTTAATCATGGAGGGACAAAAGGAATATACGAGGGTCTTAATTTGCAATTTTTATAGTTAAAACTTTCACTGGCTCCAGTTTGTGAACGAGCAGAATATATGTATTCCGCAATTGTTTGTTGCAGTTCATTCGGTATTCTGCCGTATCTTCTTGGAGAGCTCATGAAATTAAATTCAAGAGCTCTATCGAAGTTAACTGTTCAAATTATGTCGCCACATGTTGTGATAGAAAAAAGAAGAGAGGTTTATCTATCCTCGAAACACATATACAAATATTTACTTCAGTACACGTTGTTTTCAACTGTTTTCAACACAGAAGTAGCTTCAATTTTCAACACAGTTCAAATGGTGGATTCAACAAAAGGTCGAAATTGTCATATCCAAAACAATTAAGCTATCCATATGTTATGTCATATTGAACAAAACGTTGTTTAGGTTTTAGAAATATTGAGCAAAAAGCCGGCTAAAGTTATGGACATTTTTCAAAGTTTAGTTTCACTAGAGTGACTCAGTGAGACTCAAACATGTTTAACATGGCGAATGCCGTAGACTATTTCTCGGCCTCTGTGATTAAAACAACTAGCGATCTTTATCGCCATAACTCATGCAAATTTGCACTTTAGCCTTGAAGGCATAAAAGTGTATTTTCAGTATTAATTGTTTTTATTTAATAATTTGCTTAATCAAACAGATAACTTCACAATAAATTTGCCATTCAGTGACCCTTGAAAAGCTCGTTCAACAACATAACAGTTGCCCCCAGCGTCGCTACGATCATTTGCAAGGAGACTTTAATACTTTCAATAGAAATTGGTTTGAAATCGCATATATTAAGAAAACGACAGATAAGATATTTCTACTAGCAGCAACTGTATCTAGCGTGTAGAATTTAAAGAACTACAGCTTAATTTCAGTTGGGGAAATGAAAGCGTGCTGGTGAGCTCAAAGAAACACTCGCTATAGTTATGGAAACTCCTATCGGCGGTCAGGGAATTTCGCGTTGCTTTCTTGAATAAATGAGTATGAGTTAACATTACTTAAAGGACGTCAGTTGCAGTTTTTAGTGGCAAACAACAAGAACATCTTGTACACAGGAAACTGTACATATTAACACACTCGACTGTAGAATAAATCGTGGATGAGAAAAGTTTCACTACAAAATTATTACGACAAATGGAGAGCTTTGAAAAATGGTTTTATTGCTACTGGCATAAAAACATTTTACACAAACCATTTAAATATTCTACATATGGTTTATACGAATGTCGATAAATGGAGTTTAGAGTATAGTACTTTTAATTGCTGGAGATTTTAATCCGCGTCTAAACAGATGTACAGGAGAAAAAGTACAGAACTCTTTCAGTATTGAATTATTAAATGTCGCTTTACAATAGCACTCGATAAAAAACGAATATGTCTTAAACTGTTAAAGTGCAATGACACAGAAAGAGAGACGAAGCGTATAGTTGAGTTCACAATGCTTTAGTTTAAGATAACATTAACGTTTGAAAAACAAAGCACTGGAACAAAGATTGAAGTGCCAGAGCCTCGTTGTCTCTGTTTGGACGAATCGGCTTAACACCTCATCTATAACCGGTCTACGGACGTCTGACTGAAACTGTGAACAAGACTTCATGTTTTATTTACAATTTCACAAATTTCTTTTTCAACGCCTGTGTCCGATACGCTCGCGTTGGCTCACTGATCCCTTGGACTGACAGTCAATGAATGCGAACCGACAAAGACTTGACAAGACCCCGTACATGTGGTGGAATGAAAATTGAACGTAATTTGTAACACTTAGGTGGCTGCGTAACACTCTATTCGCCCGACAAACGGGAAAGAGAAATTTTTATACACCTTCAAGTCTGTACTAAAAGGATTTACGACAATTGTAATTGATAATCTCAAAACATTTGTAACACATCTATCTTGTGCAGCCTCGCCGCATTCCTCTACTTGTCGGTATTACCGGCTTGTTGTCTTTTTTCCACTTCATTCGTCGATTTTGGAACCAAATTTTGATTTGTCGCTCGGAGAGTTGTAGCATTGTTGCCATTTCTGTGCGTCTTTCCTTCGTGAGGTACCGTGTGAAGTGAAATTCTTTTTCTAATTCCAAAATTTGATTTCGCTTGTAAGCAACTCGTCTTCGATGCTTGAAAGGCTGTTTGTAGTGCCAGGGGACATCTTTATCCTCTTCTTCGTCTAAATATTTGAACAAATTTGAATTCTATTAGTAAGTGATCCGGTAAATGAAAAGTGTTTGAAGGTAGAGTAGATTTAAATTCAGGTCATTTAAAGACATGAGGCAAAGTATTTCATCCAGCAAAGAGATGCAAGACTTAATTTTTAAATATTTACTTTGGGTGAGTTATTCTGTTCTTTATTTTAACTGACCCGTGAGTAATTGAAGTGATCTCACATTCAAACATTGTTTAAAACCCGTTCAACTTGTGGCAAACTCCAAAGAACACTCTTCGCAAATCTTAAACTTGGACATGTTGAGCTCTGCACAAGCGTTTTTAACAAATAAATCTTATCTCCTCTCACCTGTTTTATCTTCTGACTCGCTAGCATCCTTTCCAGATTGGCAGGGCTCATCGCTAAGCTCGTTTGTTTCGTGAGTGGAACTTTCGCTCGGTGATTCAGGAGGGCTTTGAGACGCTGTCGAAACAGGGCTTGTACGGTTTTCCGAGTTCGTCACTGGGTTTGCAGCTCTCAAAGGAGGGCTTGTAGAAGCCCCTGGCGGCATGTGAATCTCAGAGTTACGGCCCAGCGGGAAAAACGGTGGGGAATAGTACGATGGAACTCCATAACCGTACATTATAGGTGGAGAATTGAAGTAGGAAGGCGGGCGAATTCTCTGATTTGCTTGATAAAAACAGTCCATGTTAGACACGCGTTTGAAAACCGTAATCAACGGAACACTGGCTCAAGCTACAAATGAGAGAGGCACCAGGCTGTCGAGATCAATATTCTCTCGCACTAGTCATAATTCAGCGCTATAATTAGATAGGTAGATTAATTTCATGATTGGCTAGTCAACAAATACACTACGTCATCGCACTGCTAACTCGGTAAACTGCTGGCGCCTGTTATACGGCGCGTGCGAGTGAGTGAACCAGCCAAGACAACCGGGTGATAAATTTAATTAAAAGCGTCCATTTCATCTCGTTGTAGATAAAATATTAAGGCGTGGAAAACAAAAACCAAATCTTTGTCTTCAAAAGGATTTAATATAACAAGTTCCTTATCTTTTAATTTAGCGATAAATTCGCGGGTTTCACACTGTAGCGAGACCTGGAGGCAAACTGGCTGAATTCCCACCGTTTACACAAAGGGGGTAGAAATTTTAACACATCATAATTTAAAAAAATATGGATTGAAATAGCAAATCATCCTATTTTTAGCGGCACTTGCTCCGACCTTGTAAACCAGATATATGTCAAGGATTTGCTTATTTTAACCATTCGTGCGGTTAATAACTTTCGTATTCAACGTGAATGATTTCTCCACAGCAAACATCTGTGACTGATCGTTCTCTAGCAGGGTTTTGTCGTCGTCACAGCGGGCTGCTAACAAGAGCTGTATTGACTGGAGAATATGAGGAGACGCACTTACACAACCAGCGGAAACCAAAAAAATGTTCTACATGTAGGCACGTGCAAAACTCGCGAAACAGAACAAAAAACGTTCTGCTTTAGTAGCTGAAATTATTATTAATAAGTGTAGATATGGATCTCAGATGCCTCAACTAGACAAATAGCAAGTTTATTAAATGTTCAATCAGTTGAGACTATAACCGTGTTGTCGTAGAAATATTTTTGCCTTTTCTTCTATAGCTTGTGATTCATAAATCACTAGTCACTTTATAGCGCTTGCAGGCAGCTTTTTTCAAGTGACACTTCAGTAAGAGTTGTTTGTAATATAAATTACCCGAATCTCCTGAACACACTTGTGGTAATTAGAACAAATGGGGCTAATTTTTCTCTTCCAGCGGAAAAAAATTACAGTGTGCGCAGGGGGCAGAAACACGTGCGTAGAAAGAAAACGTACAAACTGTCCCCGGCGTACGATGGGAAACGTTAATAATAACACAAGCAAGACCATCTTGGGCAAGACACGACGTTTCCTTTCTGACTCCATGTAAGTGTGGCGGCATTTTCGGCTGTCTGAAGGCAACAGCGGCCTGGAAATACTGAGAATGGCCGTTAATAATGTGCGAAAAGCAATGTGATAAGAGAATTCATGAATGCCGCCGACATGTATGAAATGTTTTCCGAAAAAGAATAAAATAAAAGAGACAGGATGAATTTACAAGAAGAGAAAACCATCTCCGAATTGAGCTTGAGTGTGTTGGAGTGACAATAAATTACTGGAATTTAATACTGCTAGCGTGGTTAAAACATGCCCGCAGAGATTAGGCAGTCAAGTCTAACTGAAATAAGACAAAAATGTTAGTAAAGAGAACCCTACAAAACTAAAACACCATTGTACAAGATGCAAAAATAGTTTTATTTTCTTTTTTTTTGACAAATGAATGAGTAAGAAGAGCCAATTCGTGTATGCCATTTCTCTGATAATGCATTTCTGAAATTGCTGAGGTAAATACGATCGTACCGAGCCACGCGTAGTTGGTCTATGTTAAACAAAAGCTGATCGATCTTTTTTGTTTTGCTCTGCCGTGTTTTCAAACAGTACAGCGAACGCATTCAATGGGTCGACTCCGAGGCGCCAGGGGTGGGTAGCACTTCAGAAGAGCCGCATCAATAACAATTCCCGTTGACCCTTTGTTTTACATGCAGTCATCCATCATACTTGACTAGAACACGGAGCTGCTTTATTAAAACAAATTTGTTGAAATCAAATAATGAACGGGTTTATTTCGTTGCGTGAGATACCGCCGAATGGCAACTTTTGAAAGGCGCTGAACACTGCTACTGCAACCGAGCTCAAACAATGCCCGGTAAGAGTGACCGGAAATGCGTTAAACGGTCGTGCCATCGCTTTAATCGCTCTATGATTTCGTCTCATTAGAGCTTAATGAATTACGCTGTAGTCCATCAAACAGACATCAAGTTAATCGGCGCATGCTAAGCTCAGCGTGTGATCGACCACCAAATTGTATAATGTCCTCGAGAATCAAATTAAAATGATACTTTAACAAATAGTCACTGAGCAACTCAACCCAAACTAGTTTAGTTGAACTTAGAGTTTAGCGACTTTTCTTTGTGGTTTGTTGTTTTGTAGCTAATAGAACCTGAACTACAGATCAGCGTGTAATAGTTTATTAAAACCATCGTCGATCATTTTCATGAATTTTTCATATTTTTATAGATACTACAGAGGCGTGATAAGTTGGCAAGAATCAGCTGGCTCTGAAAAGCACGAAATTGTAAATCAAATCAGCGGAGTAATATTATCAACTTCACAATTGGAATGAGAAGATCTTTTTTTAAAATTAAGGACACGATTTAGACAGTGGTTATTAATTTTTGTTCCTCGCGTGCTTAATATGGTATGCATAGTGTATATTTGAACGAGCCTGAATGTTCATTTTTTTAGGAAACATCGCAAACCTTTAGAAAAATGCGTTATTCGTTCTTGCAGGAAGACACAAATTATTTTTTACTCCCAAAAACACTGTTGATCATTTCAGGAAAAAAAAGCTCACTTGTAAACGGACCTCCGTCAAAATTTTTCCCTTAAAAAAATCTTAACTTGGTTAAACAATGAATTCTGAATCTTCTCTGGCATTATTCACATTTTCTATGTGTTGTCCAATTGTTTCTTTGTCGTTTTGTTCAATTATTACTTTAGTTTCATTTCCGCGATAGTTAAGGTTCCGTCCGTTCAGGAAATACTCCATAGGTAAAAATAGATTTGCAGCCTATATCTTCGTTTTCTTCAGAATGTTTAGTTGAACCTAGCCTCAAAAACAATAAAAATGGTTTAAAACTATTCAAAGGTCTTCCTTCTCTTGAGGATAAAACAACCATATGTTTGCATTTGTTCTGCGTTGTATAACATTCGGAACTGGCAATCTATAAATTCTTCTTAGAGATCTCCCATACATCATGCGAGTAATGCTATTTCGGAGAAATTGGGAAAATGTGAAATTTTCGATCATTTGAGTGATTCTCCTGGCCTATACGCCTCATTATGAAGCGATGCAAAGAGGAGAAATTCGGAAGAGATCATTAAATAACTTTGTTGAAAATACGGGACAAGTGTTACTGTTTGTTCATGAAGTGTTCCTTGATTGTAAGAAACTGGAGTGGAATTGCTGTGCGTGAATGAATATGTCAATTTTTACCGTCACATGAAATGGCTCCCAGCTAGCATTTAATTCAAAAATTGCTCTCCTTCAAAATTCAATTTCCGTTCACAAAGTTCATATCCTTTTCGACTGCAACCCCTCTCCTATCTAACTGCTCTCTTGTTTCTCTACAAAAGAACGGATGCTCCCTTTCTTTTGATGCTCCTTGTCGAGGTCAACACGGATATTTGTGGTGTTTGAACGTGGTAGAAATAAACTAGTTTTAAGAAGAGAACGGATATGAAACACAATGAAAATTTTAGAGTATTTAACGGCAGTTTTCTTAATTCAACACTTGAAAATTCACTCTTCAATTCGGTTTCTCCGGTCTGGAAATTTCAATCATTGAAGGATGCAAATTCGAGGAGGTTGGCGTTTGGACGCAGAAGCCTCTGGTTCTAAAGGAGTAACGCATTAAGACGGAACCCCGCATTGCACCGAACAACGAGTTTCGGTTAGAATTTTGAAACTTGGAGTTGGATTTCGGAAGGAAGAATGACTGAGATTTTTGCGAACCTGGGAGAATTTTGAATGTTTTAGACAGCAAGAACGCGTGGGATCAAGGAAGTATATATTTATAAACAATCTTAGCCGAATGTTACGCGTGCTGTGATTGATTCAATATAATAGATTTTATGTGAGGCCCTTAATCTTCAATTATACCACTATGTTACTTGGCACTGATGGCGTCATTTCATAAAAGCAATAGGGGAATAAACCGCTTGAGTCTAGTTAAAGCTCTCTGCGTCGTTCCCTCCCGTTGTTACACCGTACTCAGGCACGGAGCACGGTGTAACAACAATTTTACGTTCGATTCGGAAAAAGAGCCGGAGGATTCAGGTTTACGGTTGATTAAGGTGTAGGGGGAACACTATAAAAGCTTGTAAATGGCTCAGAAAATAAACATTACTCAGTCGGTCCTCGCAGAATGGGTCCAAAATCATTCAGTTACGTTCTTGCGTAATGATCAGTTGTGTATTCTCTTCAAGTTGGTCACCTCAGTACTCACGACTAGTCAAGGTCACTTCTTTTCTTCAAAGCTTGTTTATTTGAAATTGTTCCCAATACATTCAACTGTCTCCAATAATTGCTGTCAAGTTAGTTTTTAGTTTACGCTGACCATTTTTATTGTGGCAATTTATTCGAATTAGGACAAATTCAAAAACAAGGACAAGGGGTACATAGAATTCGAGCAGACCAAAGTTATGGGTGAAATAGGACAAAATTAGAGCAGTTTATGAAGCCCCTAAATTGGAATATTCACTAAAAGGTACAACAGAGCATCTACCTTTAAAAAAATGATGCAGTATGTTGCGCTTCGGTCAAGCAGTGACACAGACTAATTAGCAAAAAATTCAAGTTCTGCCAAAATACGTAGAGCGGTTTTTAAAGATGTATTGAAATTATCTTTCGGCTTGCCATTTAATTTTAACTTATTGGAACCTCTACGGAATTAAAACAAAGTGTTTTTGTTTATACGACATAACTTGTTTATTCCAGACATCGATATTTTTCTCGGTATCGGGTCCCTTAAAACAAACAAAATTCACACATTCTGTTGATAAACTTCTCGTTGCCTTGACTCAAGTCACGAGTCTATATTTCCTTAACAACAGCAGTACGACTCTCAAATCGTCAAAACAAAAATTGAAATTTCCGACTGTAGCGAACAAAGTACAGCCGCCGGGTTTAGCGTAAGTAAAATAGTGGACGAACGAGGAGATTTAGAAGACTATCCCCCGCCTTTTTTTAATGTCTTGGCTCAGGTCTGACTTCGTCGTTTAGAAATGCTCCATGATTTCAAATGACCCAGTGTAGGTTTAGTTCAGTATTCGTAAAAATGAAACACAATCTACGCTCAGCATGTTGCAGCTCAAGTGCTACAATATAAATGACGTGACGACAAGCAGAAGAGAAAATTGAAGAGGAGGGAAATTATAATGCAACCATCATAACGAGGGAACTGAAAACTTGATCCTAATTGAATATCATTTGGGGTACTTGATTTTGCTATCAACACAGAAATGATTCTGACCGAGACTTGCTGCGTATACCTAAAACTAAAATAAAAAATCAAACTCAAACGATTACGGAAAAAATCCAGAAAAAATTGTTACGTTCTTCTCTTCCCTAAGATTCTTTCTTCGAATATACCGCAGTTCCCCCCTAGCAGTAGCGCTTAACGTTTTCCATTCATAATTTTCAGTATGTGATTCAAGCCATTGTTTGTAGACTTATTCATTGACTCAGCTGCAAAGCCGGAAAAATTTTGATTGACAACGTCACGTGATCAACGGTGGCAACCGCCAGTTCGTCGTGATTGGAACTTTTTCTGTGGCTTGATTTTCTGGTCTTAAAATTTTTTCAGGTTGGAAAATTTTGATAATTTAATGATCTGTGTAGGTCAAATACAACCGAGCGCACCGTTTGAGACCAGGACTGCCTACATTCCGGCGGGAAAGCTGACCGTTACCAAGGCTTTAGTCACAAGACTCTATCAGCTATGCAAGCCACCCTCGATGCACGTGCTCCGAGGACCAAATATGGAACACAGAGCACACATGACCAATAGGCAATTCTCTGCTACCCGTGATATGTGACTGCTAGTGAACTTTGGCGGGAAAGTTCAGAGTGCGGGATATCATAAACAGCCAGTCCTGAACAACCGGTGTGTACACCATGCTGAAGGATATATATAACGCTAAAAAAATACGGTGATTTATTTCTCACCTTGGCGAATCGAAGACAGTAATTTCTCTTCAAAGATGGATTTTTGCGTCAGAATTTTGAACGATTGTGACTCTATAAATCTAGCGAAACGTCTTCTATACGAAGTCTATATCCGAGAGATGGGATGGGAGTTTCGTGAAGACGGGCCGACCGGCTTTCGTGTGGAAAAAGATAAGCAAAGCAAACCGATTCTCTGCGACGCTTTTGACGAGTCATCCATTTGGTTTGGTGCCTACAAAGAAGGGGAACTAATCGGCGTAACACGCGCTGTTCAACGAAATAATTCTCTCGGGAAGCTCGACATTGAGTTGTACCCGGCCAGCCAGCTACCATCCATGAGAAGAGTTCTCCAGCAACAAGAAGATCATCAACTGATTGAAGTACAACGAGGAGCCGTAGCGAAGGAGTACAGGGACACAAAGCCGAGCATTATCCAATTACTTCTTCTGTTTGTCTTCAGTTACGCGCTTGACAAAGAACTGAGTGTAATTTGCCCCACGGTATTCCCCATGTTAGAGACATTATTCAGCCGAGCTGGAATGAAGCTTGTAGAGAAAAATTTCACGTACGGTGAAGGTTGCGATGAATGGCCTACCTTCATCTTCTACTGTTCTTCATCCGCCTTGGCGCAAGTTGTTGGAAAGCTCAAGAGGGCAGCGGGAAAAAGAAAAGCAAGTTTTCTACAAGAAAGGGGCCTTCAATCTAAACGAAGCAAGTTTCTTGTGGTGTAACTGACCCCAGTTTTTGGAACTGGCCATCATTATGTTCGGGTTACGTCTAAAAATTTTCGAGTGGTTTCAAATCAAATTGTGACTTAAAAATTGTCGGTAAGAGGATATGTCTATTATTATTTATTGTTTTATTTATTTGCGCAAAAATTCTCATTGTATATAGCTACAATTGATTTGAGCAGGAAGTATCTGGGCTCTCGTACGAGATTCCCTTTGCAAACTGATAGAACAACTCAGGCGGTGTATGAATTTCAAATAATGTTCAATGGTTTACAAAATTCAAAGGTGTACTTTTGTCGTTAAGATGTGTGTCAAATATCGAATGTTCTTTTTGGTTTATGCTGATAGTTTCTGTTCAGATACATGTATAACGGAATATTAAAATTAAGGAAATAAATTGTTATTTTGAACCATCTTTGGTCTTTCACTCTTCTTTAACTGTCTTAATTACTGGCGAATTGCAGTCAGTTTGTTTTTTTAGTACATAACAAGCCATTACAAGCCGTCTGAGCCTAACGAAGCCAAGAGAGCTTTAGAGAGACATGTAAGAGTCCCAGGCGCTCGTAGTACCATTTTGGGGGTTAAAAATTGTGTTTTGGCGCGGCTAAGTGACGGTAGAAGAGTCGAGAAAAAAAATTCGTCGCTTATTCCAACTGAGAAAATGAAAGATCGGAACAGCACACGAAGTAAAGAAAAAGATGTCCTTTTTGTGCGAATTTCTTTATTTCCAATGTTACTTTTTGTCTTAAAATGTAATAATGTCCTGAGTTGTAATACTGTCGCAGTTTGTAACATCAGTTGTCGGGATTTGTACTGAACACAACTATCGCACATTGTAATTAATGACACCTTGTTGCATGCAATTTTTGACGACCCAGCTGTCGGGCATTGACTTTCACATCGTCGTGTTTTGCATATTTTGAACATTGTTGTCATCATCGCTTTCCCTTTGTTCAGTCAGTTCTCATTTTATTCGTAAAAATGGTGTAAAATCCAGAAGGGGAATAAAATATCATCAAATATAATTAATAAACTGGCAAAATTTAACAGCAGAATTATCAAAACACTATTATTGATATTGCGCATGCATAACTTTTTTTAACATTATTATTATTATTATTATTATTGTTGTTTAAAAAAGTTCATTCATTATTATTTAAAAATATTAACTCCGATTTAAGAACAAGAAAAGTAAAAAAATTCCCCTATATGGTATGTAAACGGGAATTACTCCTTTCTTTAACTCCTCGCTCTTTACGTCGGTCGTGAAGTTGGCTAACCATGAAAAGAGGAAACAAAAGTTCTTGTCGTTTAAGTCTTGTCACAACAACCAGACAACTAGCGACAGGTGCGTTTTTATAATAGTGATACGCAATAATCGTGTTGTCAATTTGCGACAGGCCGATTACAATTTACCAATACTTTGTTACAATTTACGACGGGTATTGCAAATCCGGATAAAAATTAAAAGTGTAATAAACCAGCCCGAAAATAATTATGTTAAACTGAAAAGGCACTGACTCCTGTTATCATAAAGCCAGTTGTATAGATGTTTTGCGTTTGCTTTTAATGAGGGTAAAGTCTTCGAATAAAAAAAGGGAGTTTGTTCTAGCCGGCGGCGTGAATTCAAAGTCAACCCTTTCACAGTAGCAGAGCTTTGAATTTTTCCTGTACCACCTTTGACTCGGTTAAACACCGCGCTCCTCTATGATGTTTTGGTCAGCCTGATTTAAAATACCTCGATATATAGCAGAAGGTCGTACAGGGGGGCGGGGTCTCTGGGGGGATCTCTGGCTGGGAATAATAGAGGATCACGGATCACGGATAAAAATTTCGTTTTCCCGAATGACGAAAATAAGCAAGTAAGATATCCTTTCTTTAATGACTTGTTCTTACACTAGAAAGAGTGTTTGAAGAAAGAAAAATCACAAATGGCTAAGTCAAGGCTCAATATTGCAAATCGCATACCTTAGTCACTCTCGATAGACGACTCTAACCATTCGGAGGACTTGCGTCTGAAAATCACGTAGAATAGAGTGGTAAAATCACGAATATCGGTTAATACTTCTTCACGGGTCACGCAAAACCCTCAGGTCGCGAGTCACGGAAATAAAATCAGCTAATCACGCTTCACGAGAATACCCCTGTACGACCCTCATAGCAGAGCACTTCCTCAGCCATTGAGTTTAATTCCCGGTCGAAAGAACTTGTTTTGAAAATATAGATAAGCCATTCTAGAGGAGAATGGCTTTAGCTATTCAGATAATCTATAAAAAAAAGAAAAACCATTTTGAAAGCCTGCACTTATGGTATGACTGATTTTCTTTAAGCGAATTTTTCACCTTTCGTCCTGAGTTTCAAAAAGACATCATAAATAGTTAACGAGGAACAGATTATGAAGTCAAGAGAACCGAGAAATGTCTATGAAGGCCCGCCAGTCGATAGTATAGTAGGTATTTCTGGCCAATCGTAGCACACCACTGCTCTGATCGAGAAGGCTAGCCGATATCTCACTGTTATTTTACACCTCATGGGATAATAATTTTCAATATTCTCATCACCCGTTTGCTTGGCAATGTATTGACATTTTAAGGAGAGATTCTATCTTGATCAATTTAAGGATTAAGGAATTAACCAGATTTAAGTCTTTTACCTAAGTAGGTTGTCAATCATTCACTTCATTAGGTTAAAGACTCAACTTGACTCTGTTATCCGTTTGACGGTGAAAACAATTCAATTGCGACCCCGGTCTTAATTGAGGGTCACTTGAACGAATAGCTGAGACTTGTTCGCCGTGTAAAACTGTTACCTCCCAACCTGTGTGCCATAAAACATGGAAAGACATTCCTCTACGCTTTCACATTCAATAAGCCGGCTTCTTGGGCACACAGACGAAGCGCATCTTGACAGAACTGAACGCTCTACAAATGTCACATCGGATTATGGCACAAAGGAGAAGCGCAAATCTTGTCAAGACGAATCTCCACCAACAAGCACTGAAAGAGCGCGTTCACCCAGAGAAGTAGACCACGAACTATGCGTTTATCCTTGGATGGAGATTCATAGATCAAATCAAGGAAAGAAGAAGAAAAGTAAGAGGAATTTAGCTTGTATTCTCTAGTTAGTCAAATGCTTAGCAACCAGCTTGCCTTGTTAGCACAGACAGACATTAGCAAGACAACTAGAGGTGTTTTGTTAATGAGGTGTCTGTAATAACAGCGATATGGATTTACCTTAGAAATTCAGGTTGATTTTTTGCTCTACTTTGAAATATGGGGACTTTTTCAGTACAATAATGTATAATAGTTTTTCAGAGTGTAGAAGCCTTGATAATGCTAGGCTGCTATTTTCCAATGTTGTATTGCTGGGGGCTCTGTTTTTGGGTTTATCATTACATGCGCTGAGTCGACCATTTCACGGACAGTAATTTTACTTTCTTGCGTGTATAGCATTGGCTGATATATTCATGAAATCAGAAACGTTTATCCAGGTCCACGTTATGGGGAGAGTTTCTGTTATTTCTTTGTTAGTTCGTCTGGTGTAAGTCTTTGAATCTTGTAGGCAACCGACCTGCACTCCTATGCCACGGCAACAAAAAACACTTTGCCTAACACTTTTGCGATCGAATTAACGATCGAACCTGCGTTTTATCCCTCATTGAACAGGCCTAAAAGAATTCAAATATGTGAGTAACCACACAAGATTTTAAGTAGAAATAAAAGCATGTTAATGTAAAATTTGACACCTTTGATCGCTATGACACCTCTCTATAAACAGTAGCACATTAACTCTTCCTGTTTATAAATGATGTTATTGTGGCACTGCTTATCTTAGTCACGCTGCAAATTAGGCGCCACAGAAAACATTATATGTGTGTCTTCAAAAACTGAAAGCCTGGCTCTCTCGTCACTCGTCACACGATCTGAGGACACCACACGCATATGTGAATAACGCTGAGGCAACACAGTTTACAATGTCAACATGGAATTTCTCCTAACAGTATCACGCGTAACTTTCAAACAGACGGGTAGTGAGAAGAGAGATTCTTATCAACCGTATGAGGTATTTATGGGAAGCGCGGTGGCCTGATGGTTAGTGCGGTCGTCTCCGGATCTAGCGGTCCGGGCTCGAGCCTTGGCCGGGGACACTGTGTTGTGTTCTTAGGCAAGACACTTAACTCTCATAGTACTTCTCTCCACCCAGGTGCATAAATGGGTANTATCCCGTCCAGGTGGAGTAGAAATACTCCTAGCCGCTTCATGCTACAGAAACCGGGGTAAGCTCCGGCTATGAGCCAGTCGGCTTCAATGCTTTACTTTATATGAGGTATTGCCTTGAAATACCATTAATTAACATAGAAAAATATCATCGGCCGAATAAATATTATTCCTAGCCAGTAGGGTCGGTAAGAAGCGATTTAGTACCAACCCAGCCAAATGGGCACGCAATAACCCAGGACGAGAAAGAATTGTTTTGTTACCATGACACTGACACGCAGGGCGTATTACTGTCAAAGCGACGTAGCACCTCTACGTAGGAATAAAATTTATATGCAGTTGTTACTTTTAAAGAATGTGTTCCCGAATTTAAACTCTTCTTAAGTATCTGGGCAGTGAAACAACGTTTTCTTGCTGTACCAAACACATCAAGTCATCATGCAATACTTTCGGCAAATATTGGGGAGCCTATTAAAAGCAGCTTGAGATCAGAGAAAATATTCCTGTTAGCAGAGGTGTTTGCTTACGGAAAGTTTTAAACAATAGTGATTATATGTGGCCGAGACCATGACCCAGAAGTCCAATGCTTAGGCTGGGAGTGCTTTCCGAGACAAACCGACCGGTCAGAGATCAGTGGGAATACCCGAGGAAAATGGAACGACATTTTCCGATTAAACGAGCCAACCAATAGGAATGGCTCTTGCCATTTTCAATTCCTTTTCCGAATTCCCTAATTAGGGCAAAGTACCGGTTTGTCAAAAATGGAACGGCGAATTTCGGTCGGAATGTTCCGACCGAAATAGGTGGACCACCTCCAGCCTGGGTGATCCCGAATATTCCGGTCGGAGAAACCGAAACGGACCTTTCCATTTGAATTTCGACCGAAATTTCCGGAATCTCTGGCATAATGGTAAGCACCCTAGATGTCCGAGACGTGCGTTAGCGGAGGCCCTGCTGCATAATTTGTTCTTCTTCTCCTCTTTGCCTCATCATTTTAGACTTTATAAAAGTCCTTTCCAATAATACTCCCGTGGCCTGTTAGTGAAACAAGTCGACCTTTAGTGTCTTACGTTGCTCGAATTTTTTTTACCCTCTCACTTCCCTCGAAGAAGATGAATAAGCAAAGGATTAAGCAAATGTCGACTTGAGGCAACTCTGTCATCCTTGGTCATCCTTGTTGTGCTCGGATTTCTGAGGATGAGAGTCAAAACCCACGAGTGAGTTTTCAGGCCTTGGAACCTTACGTTATGATATACTTTATGAAAACACGACCCTTGTGCTCTGTCCCGCTAAACCGTCCGTTCTGTGGACTAATTCTGGTCAAACGCAACAGTTATCTACTCACACATACATTCGATCCGCTCATGCGCAAAGGAAATGATAACAAAAGGAATTCTTATGAGGAAATAGCACCAGCCGATATCTCACGGTTATTTCGTTTTCGCGACTTAAAACAAAATTTTCAATTTCCCTCAAAACGCAATTATGGATGATGAAATGGGCTAACGCTACAGCACCAAGCCATGAAGCCATGATGAAGCCAATGGTCCATTTCCAGCCTCTCTATCAAAGTGAGGCCTGGTGCACAACTATTCATTCGGAAATGGCCTGTTAAAAGTTTTCAAGTTCTAAGCATAGTTCATGATCCGAATTAACTTTTTTCTGACTCACTTCTCAATCTGTACGATTAATATACATTATTATACGGCTTTGGCTTGTGGTCGATATAACGCGCGTTCTGATTGGCTAAGAACGAGATCTGAACGGTCATTATGCAGCCGTAATGCCCACGGGCCGATTACGGATTATGCAAATTAGGAAGAGCCCGGCTCTGAAAATTCAAGCACATTGAAGCGATGAAAGCCGATTAAAATCAGTACGAGAATATCAGTAGCTAAAAGTTTAGAGATATTTCTTTAATAAAATTTATATAGATGACTTA